GCAGGGACAATCTGAGAGTACATAACTTCTAAAAGGCCATCAGTGTTACGGTTAAAGAATAATCTTAACATTCGTAGAAACTGAGAGCATTGAGTGTCTTCACTTCAGCTATCTGGCTTCACCTCAAAGCTCATCAAAGTCAGAAACTGCATCTTCAGCAAGTCTAACAAACGGCTCTTGTTCCGGCCATGCTGAAAGCCAGGGGCTTATTCAGACACTGCTGCAGGCGACTGAGCCTGTAGAACATGTTCCTTGTCCTCTACAGCAGTACAGAGATCTCCAGCTGACACAAAGCTCGGGCTGAGCATGCAGGCAGTAAAGACTGTTGCTGGATTCATCTAGATACTGATGTGTAACTCCAGAATTGGCACTTCGAATCCTTCCTGGTAAAAAATGCAAATATATTCTGTCCCTAAGCCCACAAATAATGTGTATAGTAAGGAAACATCACGATTGTGTTCTCTGTTTGGAAAGATGATACGAAAGTAGGAATAACCCCTAAGGGACTGTGCTTAGTGTTTTTTTTAACTCCTCACCTTCTTTCCAGAAGCTTCAGCTAAGACTGGTGAAGAGAAGCTTCCTGCTATAGCCTTGTTTTCTGATATTCCAGCGTGGGATTCTTGCCTCCCTAGGTATCCTACTAAATACTTGTCATATCTCTACTCAGGATGGAGACATCCTAGCTTCCAATTTTCCTGTGGATACTCAAGTTGCTTACATCCTAAGTCTTGGAGTGGTGAAGGAGTTCAGAAAACATGGAATAGGTAAGGTGCTGCTAAGTGACAACTCTGTTGCTTTCGTTTGCCACGTGTGGCTAGTGGGCATGACTGAAGGAGCTCCACCATTTCACTGCAATAGCCTCTTGAGACAAGCTTGTCGTTGATTTGTACCAGCAATTGGCAAGGCGATGCACTCGCATCCCCTCCTTGATGTTAATGCAGGGGCACTGAGACGTTTTTACTGGTGTAGGCAGAACAAAATGTACAAATGTTTCCGAAGAGCAGGAGGCTTTGACGGTCTTGTTCCCAGGGGACAGCTGAGCACACCAAAAACTTGCACTCCTGCTGCTGAGACTGACCGAAGTGCTAGGACTTCACTGTGGAGCAGGATCTGAAGTGCTTTTCTTTCATGGGTATCAGAAGCCTGGCCCCTGAGGCAGAAAGTATAGCTGGTTTTAACCTTTCAACTTCAACAGATAGAACAAACATTTAGAAAAAGACAAAGGGAACTGGAAAAAGAGTGTAACTTGGACCTGATTAGATCTGTCAAATGCATGTAAAAGTCAGCTCTGAATGCCTGCTGCAACACGCAGCCTTTTTGCAGCCATTTGAAAATCCTGCAGTCAGAAGGGCTTATCTCTGTTTAAAGCTGGATGTGTTTTGTCATCAAATAAGTGCCCTTCTGGTGCAATTTCAAGCATGATCTGTATCTTTGATCTGCAAAAGGAAATAGGCCAGGTTAGGCAGAATGACCCGGTGTTGCACACCTGGAGTCTCTTCAGTGGATACAGGTATAACTTCCCTTCCTCCAGTCCTCCCTTCTCCCCAACTCATGTTTAGAAGGGTACAAACTGGTAGGATACATAAAGAAATGACCAGAAGAGGCCTCAGTGGGAGCACTGTATTAAGACTTGCATTGAAATGCTACTGGAGATAAATTTTCTGTGCAAAGAAGAAAATACTTGCAGAGAATAATGTTCACAGAAGGTGGTGAAGGGGCCTTCTGTTCCGTAATATTGTGGTGGTTTTGAGTCTCCTTTCAGTTTCCAAATACTAATATTTTTTTTCCAGCTCCATCTTGCTGGAATTTTCTCCTTTCAGAATCCATATTTCCTGTATCCCATTACCTCTGTACAGCATGCTGCTGTGCTCTCTCAAACACTTTGGACTTGTAGCTGTAGCAAAACAACCTAAAGAAGCTGCTGCCTGCTGGTGCTTTCCCAGAGACCTTCCTTTTGCAAGTTTTTCTACTTGCATTTGAAGCTGAAGTCTTTCGTGCAGGAGGCTTTTCACCCCAGGCATACTTTTAAACACTAAAGCTCTGATTTTTCTCTGGCAGGTTTTAAAAGGCTTTGTTTTCTAGTTCTCTGCTGTTCTTAAACCAGAGGGCAGTTGGATTTCTGTGAGACAGAAGAGTGGAATATCTCATACCAAAATTAAACTGCTCTCCTGTTGATGTGTCTCAGTGTCTTTTTGTGCTTGGCTGATAAAAATTCCCTCTAAGTATCGAGTGATCATGAAATCAGTGCTGTTGACTTCTGTTCTGAAATCCTGTG